ATACCCAGCCATATATCCCATATGCGCTACATACCCAGAGAGAAAGAGAGAGAGAGGGAGAGAGAGAGAGAGAGAGAGAGAGAGAGAGAGAGAGAGAGAGAGAGAGAGAGAGAGAGAGAGAGAGAGAGAATAGTGGGTCGGAGGAGAAAAGATGGGTGCTAGAGGGAGAGATAGTATTTTCCATAGAAATATAATATAGTCTCTCTATATATTTCAAGGGTATTTTCAAGGGTATTTTCACGACTATGTTATTGCGAACGTCAATAGCAGGCACCACAAGATGTACAAATGAATATGACAACCGCAAATTATACAGTTTAATATATAAGTTACATTTCGGATTACAACACGAGATATGTCACATGTGAACATTAAATGCATGAAAAGAGCGTCAGGCTTGTGACCCTACCTTTATATTTATTTTAAAAAGGTATAGACCACCTGTACATGTTTCAACATTATACATTCCCAGTAGACATGTATATGCAAACAAAACGTCTAATTTCGAACATGTCGAGCCCACCACGTAACAAATGCAGATTACGACAAAATGCACCAAAAATGCTGTTTATGGTTCTTGCTGTTACACTGCGAAGAAAACGTGCAAGTAACAGAAATGAATAGCGTTAGCATAATTGAAAGTCCCGTGCCACAAACCTACAGACATAGACACGTAATACCATAGATATATATAGAAGAATATCTATATCTTCTTCTATATCTATGGTAATGGTAATACCAGTTGTTGACTATGTAATGTTGACTATGCAATTGTTGACAATGTAACACGCGGGTTAGAAACTTACACAATGTATCTAACAAGCGTGGACTTTCTGGAGTTTTCCAATTATTTCATATTTGATATTAATTGTAGTTATATGCATGCAAATTATTTGCTTATCAACGTGATTTTTCATCTACTGTGCTTCACATTAACAAATGTAAATTAACTTACTTGAACTACCCCTCCAATATACACATAAGACGACTGCAATGATGCAGTATGAATGTAATGGGCTTACACTTTTTACAGGCATTTAATAATGCTGAGATATAGGCTAACTTACAGATTGAAAACTAAATTAAGTAAAATATATCAATTCACAGATTTCTCTATCTGTTATGGCAAATTATGGCTATAACCTTTTACTTAACTCGTTGTGTTTTCATGGTTTCAAAACTATAAGCAACATTAGTTCGTCTATATATTGATAGCAATATTTAAGAGACCATACATGTATACTATGATAAAATCACTTCTTGCTTAAATACTACTTAAATAGTTACGTACTTCACATACCAAACGTCTACATTATCGATAACAGTGAGTTAGACCATGAACATATGTATATCTCATATCACGAGACATATGTTCATGGTTAGATGCTACTACAATAAAACCATGAGTGGTACTTTATCAAATTTAATTTGACTAGGTACGATGTAGCATTACTTTCTGGCATTGCTCATTTCTATACGTGTACATTGAAGACAACCTACTTTTATCAGGTACTATTACAGGACATTCTTGAATTTCATATACACGGGCATAGGCCTATATATGGTCAGATAAAAATACATTTTTTACATTTAACTGCACAGATTTACCAAGATCAATTGATAATTAATAACCATGTCCATTAATAATAAAAATGGTAATTAAATGTTATTTACCTCAATCGATACATTGCAAATACTTTCATACCTGTTGTTATTATGGCTACACAGCTTCCTACATGGTTCTGACCATTTTAGAATCTCATGAAATTCAAATAACTGTGAATCATGCCAGCAAAGGCAAGACAAGGCTCACATAGTTTAACAAGGACTTGAGAACTCTAATCGCCACTTGTATTCTTTACATATTGATAACACTAAGGCATACGTGTGAGGGTGTGTAGATACACAAAAACAAACTTCAGTTGTGTGAACGAATAATCCAAGCAGCCCCGTGAAAACTATCATAATGCTGCCAAGCATTATACATGGTAGTGGCGTAATACCTTTGTTCCCGTAATTCATGGTCGTTTTATTTTACATTAGAATTTAAAATTGCCAGAAATGCATTAACGCATTAATGCGTAACAATTGTACCTACAAATCTGTACATGCCAATAATTAGACCAGGTATAAAAGCACTGAAATGTTACAGAGAATGATCAATTCCAAATGCAACACAGTACATTTTAATGATATGGTTGATAAATAATAGAACTTAAGCAATAGTACATGTGTAATTTTATGTTTATAAAGACACACTCCAACCTATGTTAACTTACCTGGTCTGTTTACATTCTTACTATCCTTTGGTTTCACACCAAACATGGCATAGTAAAAAAAAATATTTAAATGAAAATTGCAAAAAGAACATGCCAAGCCCAACTTCCATCGATCACCCCAGGTGGCACTAGAAACATTTGGCATCACTTATAATTCTAAACACAAAAAGAAATTGGTAGTGAAAGCCCAAAAAGTGTAGTCCCTCAACCTTCATGGAATCATCTCATCAGCTTTTTAGCAAAAAACACGTGCCTTAAAACACAATCTTTTGGGTTAGCAATTTACAAAAATAACATGGCAAAGCAATTGTTCAACAGCAATAAAACCAGGAGAGTGACCATACTCGCATAAAATAACTTAGCCTCATATTTGCCACAAAATAGCAGCATATCTATACCATGTGGAAAAGGAATCACTCTGGAGGGATCAACAAAAAAGGCCAACTGTAATACATTGCCTGCACGTGTAGCATCTAGGACAGCGTGGCTCGTGAGGCAACCATGAGTAACCTGAGACCATCTTTGCTCACGAAGCTTCAGCGAGACATCCGGGGCAGGGTCATCCACGAGATCTCAGTGACGCTGCAGGTGCGGCAGTGAGTCGCGTGAGACAGAGAGGTTCATGGGGGTCGCAGTGAGGCTACGGTCGTTACGGCGAATCATCCGAGATAGGCCCCCCTGAATGCTCCCCAGAGTGAGCAAGCTCGGTCATCGTGCTGTCACCTAACATGACCTCTTCACTATGCGTGACCTTTGGGCAATGTGTGTGCTCCGTGCCGTGTGTGACCTCTGTGCCATGTGTGACCTCTGCATCGAGCATGACTTCTGCATCAAGCATGAACTCTGTGCCGTGCGTGACCTCTGTGTCGTGCATGACCTCTGGACTGTGTGTGACCTCTGTGTCGTGCATGACCTCTGGACTGTGTGTGACCTCTGTACCGTGCATGACCTCTGGACTGTGCGTGACCTCTGTACCGTGCATGACCTCTGGACTGTGCGTGACCTCTGTACCGTGCATGATCTCTGGACTGTGCGTGACCTCTGCACCATGCGTATCATCATCATTATCCTGCTGGTCAGCTAGGTCCTGCAGCAGCCTGCTGATTGTGTGGCTGATTGGCTGCGTCGGTACAAGTGACATTGACGCGAAACTCCGCGTGTCATCTGCAAACTGCGGTAGCTGGTCGGGTAGCTTAAAACCTGCGTTCAGCCCTGTGTCAAATAGAGAACACACTGAGCTAAATACTACACATACGGCACCATTACCGCTTCATACTCTGAAGCGAGACTGAAGAATAAGCCAATGGCAACGTGAGTATTTTAGAGTAGAGGTTTTTACCTGTATACTCTGCATATGATTATATTCACTCACATTACCACCACCATGAACCAAAACCAAGAAATCTGTATGCACCCAACTATTACTATTACTCGGTCAGTGCTACAATATTACATCATGAAGAAAACTCACCTGTTTTCTGATAGAAAAGAATGTAAGCATTATTATGGTCTTCGTATTGTGGCTCCCTCTTGGTAAGGGTGTCATCATTACAGAAAAACCACTCATCAGATAGTAGGTGCTTGGTATAAGATGTATAATGACCAGCGTTTGGCCCTACAATCGAGGAGATACGGTACGATGTAAATTAAACCCACAAACCTCAGGTTCAATCGTAAAATTGAATTGTGAAATGGTTATGCTATACACATGCTAATTATGTCTATTATAACACACTCAAGGATTTTTAAACTTTAAATGTATGTTGCTAACAACTACGAATAAACTATGCTTTACAGAGTAATGGTTCCACTTAACGCTGTTTTCATATGTTGGAAAACGTGCCTGAACAGGAAACATACCTCCAAAATGGCAGACACAGCTGTGCAGATCATAGACAAAGTCGTTTTCTTTGTGCGTTGCTGAAATGAACTGTGAGAGGTCTAGCTGCTCCAGAGGGAAAAGGACCGTGTCTTCCAACTTCAGACTAGTCAGGTCATAAAACACAAACCTGACAGCAAATATACAGAGAGCATTATTTAGAATAACAAGCAATGTACTAAATATCTTCCAAACCAAATCTCTTCCCTTTCTCTTAGAGGTATTGTCAATATTACAAGTTACTGAGTGATGCTTGTGACGTATACAGTCACAACATACATTAAACTGACTAATATAGAGCAAGATTAAACACAACTATATGTGACAGCAGGAATAAGATAATAACAGCCTGTTATCTTATTACTGGTTATATCCATAACGAAATTCAATTTACAGTACTTGTCAACCAACACCTATTATTGCATGTAATAACAATAATTATATGTAAAGAAAGCATTATATATTAAACAACACTACACAGCCCTGTTTGACATCACCTTCTTTAAAAATCTGTTTTTAAGCAGGTTAGTTCTTTGCAAGTTTAGATTGTGGTTAGGTCATTCTAAATGAATGAATAAATAAATAAAAATATATATTAATCCACCACATATACATTAGGTAGAAATGATCTCAAAGCGTTCATTTACACCTGATATACACTACATTTGCACCTATTTGTGAAACTGTTGTGCTGTGCATTATGTCAAACACCTTTTTAAATAGATGATAAGTGTAGGAGGATAACGCCAAATGGTCATCGTCTTCTCTGCTCTTTGGTTTTGCTGACACTGAGGGCAGTACCAAGGGTTATGCTCATCCAGACTCTCACTGTAATTAGTAAAACATCCAATATAGAATTCAAATGACAATAACTATTACATCACCCTGAAAGTTGAGAAGGTAATGCACATGTAATTGCCTTCATCTCTAACGTGATGGTATAGTTTAGAGGCCACACACTTTTAGTCCCTACAATCAAGCGTTCGTAAGATATATCTGATTGAAAATGATGATCGTTTAGCCTAGTCTTATCTCGTCCAATTGCAGAGATTATTGCTTGTGCACGAACTATAAAATGGCCACATATAGACTAACACAAATGTGCACACATATACACATTCACAAGAGACAGATAAATGATTCTGATTAGTTTCCATATTGGTTGTCATAATGCTAATGATATTAATAAATATCAATAATAAAAAAATAAAAAAACAAGATTACCACAAGCCAGAGAGCAGAATGTTACTACTATCTACACGGATTTACAAATATTATTAATGAAGGCAGAGTTATAAGCAATGACAATAACCCTCCCCCAACCACTGAGAAATGTACTGCTCCTCACTGAATAGGAAACAAAAACAAAACAAAAGAAAACTGAAAAGGAACTGATAGAGGGACGCGTAGAAACGCAGCGACACCTTTCGGAAAAAGCCTCAAAGCAATCCTGAAGGTCTACGGGTTTCTCGCCCCTCCGGTCGACGACAGACTTGTGATCGGCGCAACTCGACAGCAGCTCGGCGATGCTGGCGACGGGGTCGATGAACGTGACGGTCAGGTGGTCACCGGGCATGAAGATCACCTCCGCGTCTCTGGACAACGGGCAGCCGGGGCAGCGGCGAGTGAACATGCAGCGTGAGCAGTTCTGACCCTGTCGTGAAAACTGCGCGTCAGAGGCAAGTGCGAGACACGACCGGACACGGGTTATCACCTCGATTATCATCTATTATCACATTATATTATATATTTACCTTTATTTATTACCTCTGCCAGGGGCGTGGCGGAAGTTATGTTTTCACCGGCGAATGTTTGAGTGTTGGTTTGTGTGTTTGTGAACATGCACGTTTCAGTTCACTTCCGCTAGGTGTGCTGGCTATAGACTTACAAACACGCAAACACAGGCTAAGAGGCAACCACAGTCCTCCTCCACCTACACGCTCACACTAATCCGAATCCAATTAATTATTTAATTAATTAATTAATTAATTAATTTTTCCACTTGATTAATTAATTAATAAAAAATTCCACATTGAGAGAATTCAGCTGCCATGGCGGAGGTCTGTGCTCTCCGAGTGCTCTAGTTAGTTTTTGTTATTGTTGTTGTTGTAACAGAAGTTGGATTATTATAGGTGTCTGTGATTGATCCTGTACAGACAGCCCAAGCCTGCACTACACGTGTGTTTCTACATGTATTAGGTACCTGTGCGTCAGTAAGACTAATGGTAAAGTCCTCTAGATGAGGCATCAGGCTGTTCACGTAGTCATAGAGCTTCTGTGGAGTGAGCCTGCCGGGCAGGTATGCAACCCTTGGATTGCCAAACCGCGTGAATTTCTTACTGCCGGCGGACTGTCTTCGGAAAACTATACACATTGGTATAGTCCTGAAATCACAATGTGCAATGCTAATCAAGACTGTAGTAGCAATGTTAGCATGACATGCATACACAGTTAGAAAAAGGAAATTATATTCCATTCAATACGTATTGACATACAAGGTACAGTGATTAAAGTCTGTCAATGATAGGAAATAAATGAAACACATCCCATAGCAAGTCTTCACGATGTACATGAGCCATCACCTTATCTTTGGCTTGTAATCAGCTAATTTGTGCAGAGGTACATATGCCTCGGGCCCAATCAATTCGCTGCAGACTGGGCAGGGCAAATTCGTATCTCCATAATGCTTGCACGACATCTAAAAAGATTCAATATGTAATCAGTTATTTAATAAAAAACCTATCCTTTTCCGTTAGGCTTGATAACCATTGTGCTAAAACATTTTTTCAAGCTTTGAGATAGACAAAACATCAAAATCCTACGATAGTAGAGACAAACGTTACAGCGATAAGTGACAAACGGTTACGTTGGTATCGGTTTTGAATCATCCGAAACGTCACGCGCTCACGAACCGCACGTCCTACACGATTCGCTGCGGTTTACCTCGATGCAGATCTGGCACAGCGTACAGCCACACTCCGCGTGTATGAACAGCTCAACGTCCGGCTTTTCCTCGAGGCATATTGCACAGGACCGCCACTGCTCGATGTGGCGCCCGCTCCGAGACGCCGCACTCGTGTCAAGCACTGCCGTGCCGCCGCATCCCTTGCTGCCGCCGCTGCCACCGCCAACGTCCCTGCTGCCGCCGGCATCGTCGGGGTTGTCGCTAGACCCGCCCGGTTCGCCATCGCAGCCCGCCTCGGACGACCGACGCTCGCGCGAACTGCCGACGGGGTCGGGGTCGGGGATCGAGTCGACGCGTGGTGGGGACGGGAGCGTCGGACTGCCGGCGACTGGCTGCAGCCTCATCTCGAACGCGTGGATCGCGCGCGATGCGTCGTTGACGAGCCACAGCAGCGTGCCGTCGTCCTGGAAATGCCGCCAGCCGACCGCCATTAGCTCCGACCGCGAAACACCCGACTCCTTGCATTGCAAACCCGAAAATCTAACACGCTGGGAAATCGGGGAGGAATTCTAATGCTACGCTTACCACACGATACAATACTTACCCATAGTGTAATAAGTTAATTATCAAGAAGTGCTGTCATTCTAAAACTGACACTGGCCCTCCGACTGTGAGCCCCACTTATATTGCAAACCCAAAAACTAACACGCTGAGAAATCGGAGAGAATTCCAATGCTATACTTTCGATAAAATACAATAATTACTCAAGGTATCTTACTGCTTTAAGATAAACTGTCATGTACAGCAAAATTCCCAGGACACAGGTCAAACTGATTTAAAATGGGAAAGCAGATAATGCAGTTACATGCGCGATGTGGTAGTGACTTACCAGAAATCTTGAGACGTGGTTTTCAACCACCTCAGCAAGTATGATCTCAAGCGAACCATGGTCCTGTTCTAGCACCTCCAGCAGAGAAATTTTAAGGTCCCTTACGTTGTCCATCTTTTTTAGTGTTAGCAAATATCTCATTGGTTGTTGTCCATCACAAGGTTGGAATATCACAGCTAGAAAATCAGTACACTCAAATTACATCGAGTAAATATGCCATTTTCAGTGAATGAAAATCTCATCACAAAAACACATTTCAAGGGGCTTTGATACATGCATATGCAACTCCCAGTGTTTCAACTAGTATGTATGTTGAACAATGTTGTACGATGTAATGAGTAGAGCACTACTGATTGCTAAAACCACTTAATATTTAAATGAAACTTGTTATAATAAATGTATATCCAGGTTTGACATGTCACAAGTTTTGCCACGAAACAAATAATGAAACATGCATATACACATTTAATAAATATTGTATAAATACTGTAACACCTTATGGCAGTCAAGCACGTGTTAATAGACATGTTTATAGAATGAACCCGTATATATAGGACACCTTTTTCATTTCCCTCTTCGTCATACAGTGAAACCTCTTCTATGAAACGGACACCTGTCTATACAGGACAGACACTTTTACAGTTTTCCTCGAGTGACCCTTATATACAGGTTCGACCATACACAAAAAACGTGTGAATCGAAGATCGAAGAAGAACAGAAAATCGTAAACAACCAACTGCGACAAAACGCGTCAAGCAGACTCTTCACTTTGCGAGCGACGACGCACCATGCTTTTGAACTGTCCCTGAAACGTGTCGACGACGACGGACTTGTGCTTCGAGTGGTGCTTCCACCACGCCGCGTCGGCCTCCTCCGCGTCGAGGTCGGTCGTGGACGGCTGCGTGGTCCCGCCGCCGCCGCTGCTGCATCCCACGTCCTCGCTGTTCTCGCACGAGACGTCCGACGTCGCCACGGCGACGCGGTCCGGCGACGACTGCGGCGGCGCGCGCACGGCGTTCTTGAAGCGCTTCTGCAGCGCTGCCGGCACCCTCTCTTCGCCGTTGCTGTCGCCGTCGTCGTCATCGTCGAAGCAACGGTTGCGCTTGCAGTTGTTCGCGGTGAATGCGTTGCCGAGTTCAGCCGCCGTCGTCGTCATCATTGTCGCCGGCTTGCCGCGCGGGTCGGCCACCACGTCGGACCGCCGCGCGTGCAGGTTGACGTCCTTCACCCGCGGGCAGGGCATCATCTTGCAGATCGTGCACGGGTACGTGCCGCCGTGCAGGTTGTCGAAGGTGAGCGGCGGCGTCGGCGCGGGGCGGCCGGGCGAGCGCGCAAACTTGTCGCTGTGCGTGACGCCGCGCGCGTCCTCGGTGACGAGCACGTTCGTGTTCGCGACCTTCACGTCCTTCCGGTAGAACTCCTCGATGCCCGCCGGCAGGATCCCCTCGGCGTTGTTCGCCGCGAGCTCGTTCTTCTCGCGACCGCCCGGTGGCGGGGGCGGCACATCGAAGAGCTTCTTCGCGTCCGTCAACGTCGCCACGCCGGCGCGCTCGTTTCTGTCGACTTCCGGCACCGCGGGGATTGCTCCCGGGAAGGTTCCAGAGAGTTTATCCTCGGTGGCATCAGGAGGATCGATCCCGCCGCTGCGGTCCGTCGAGTCGAGCGCGACTGCGGACAGCAGGTTGGATTTTATGTCGATCATCGTGACGCCGAGGGACAGCTGAGCGTCGGAGCTCTGCACGGAGACGGACGACTCGTTGCTGTCTTCCTCCATGTCCTGCCGCTGTGCCGAGCACGTCGCCGGCGAACGCTCGACGGCACAGTTGTTGTACGTGCATGCGTCCTGCGGCACTGCGGCGGCGGCGTCGCAGCACGCATTGCCGTCGTCCGGCGGCGTGTCCGGCTGGCTCGATGGGTGATTAGACATGAAGCTCTTCGCAGACGCAAGATTGAGATCTTCGTGCAGCGAATCCAGCATGAGAGCGAGAAACTCCTGAGAGTCGTGCTGCAAGCAGGCCAAGAAGAAACGTCAGCGCAGGTAGGCCAGCGATGACTGCCAGAAAAGTGGGAAGTCATATACCGATACTAGCGTTTTACCACCAATATAGATCCTAGCTTGTATGCAGAGAAATCAAAGTATGGATAGTACTCGAGTTGCGAATGTATCGGATACCAGATTGTCATTCTTAAGTTGAATGCTGAGAACTTGAAACACTATTAGGAGAGCAGTGGTTTGGTTGGTACATGCAGCTCTCTAGTTGAATAGTGGAATATATTGAAATAAGTTCGGATAGCATCATTCGTAGGCACAGATGTGCGTAACTCGTTAACAGACTCTGGAAGCATGAGGATTAAACCACCCTCACCTGTCGACAGCCGCTGAACTGAGGAAACGTGTTTCCGAGGCAATTCTTGAATTCGGTCGGCGTGATCGTGTACTTATCCCCCTTCCACACGCTGACGACGAGCCGCGCCAAGTGGCCCGTCAGGGAATCCTTTGTGTTTGCGTCCATCTCAAAGTCTTCAAGAAAGTACTTCACCAACGCACTGCAGTTCAGCAAGCACTGTAGAGCAGAGTTCATGTAGCAAGTGTTCCCAAGGTTGCGCAGTCCACACATGCCTGGCACTATGGCACGATCTTCTGCGTAAGAAATATTCATGAGTTAAATGGACGCCCTGAACCTACCTCTCAAGATATATTTTGTTAGCTTCAATAATATATATATATATATAGAAAGAGAGAGAGAGAGAGAAAGAGAGAGAGAGAGAAAATAGACACACGGAGAAAGAGAGTTATACAAAAAGAGTTAGAAAGGCAGAGAGTGGGTGCATTATAGAGAGAGACATGGTGATTTAGAGAATTTAAAGGTTACATCAAATTATACAAAGTCAAATGCACACTGCTACATGTCGAGTTTTATTTCTGAGCTGAACAATTTACCAGAATCGTAGAAGTGAAGCATGCTACTGTCATCAGCAAAGATGGCATCTTGAGTAGGACTGCTGTACGGTGCTGCAATAACGAAGACGTCGCTCATTATTACTACGACACATTCTTACTCGAAAAACATCAAAATTATAAAAACGTTTCATAACATATCATCAATAGTCATCATGAGACTACAAGATGAGCTTGAAAAATCAATGTTACCTGAAACACCAAGGTCCAAATTAGGCATGTCAAGGTCAGGCATGGTTTCCATGTCATCGCGATCAGATTCAAACATGCTACCCATCCACATCACATTGGACGATTGCCCATTAAAGTCTTCGGGAAACATGTCTTCGGTTGGAGCATCCACAGTGCTGGCCTAATAATGAATAAGATGTTACCACGTACATAACATATTAAGCTAGAACAGGATGGAACATTTTTCGTCATGTCATCAGAATACATAAAAATACAACACCAACCTCTTATTTTAGCACTACATTTATGGTCAACAGGGCAAAATTAGTGAGTTCAATAATATTAGCTATCACTATACGCAATATAGTGATCAAAGAAAAATAATTCTACACATGTATACAGCAGTGTTTTTTTTTTAGTTTCCTGATACAACCATAAATCTACTAGCACAGACACAGAGATCAATTCAAGCACATTTGTCCTGCAGGTGTCAGGGAAGCCATCAGATCTTATCAGCTTACTAATAGTCATTGCGAACCTCAACTGCAGATATCAGCAGGAGTTTCTTCCTAGTATAATATTCAATCTACATCATCTGGCAGTCTGACAAGCAGCAACAATAATACATATATCTACACGTCATTTGCGATGCTAATATGTAAGCACAACAACCAACCTCTTTTAGTGCTTCTGAATCAATATCACATTCAGAAGCATAATCATCAACATTGAAGTGTGTCTGATGGGATGAATAATCCATACTAAGGTGACTGCTGAAACAAAATTCTACTGTTAGTTACATGTAACATTTATATTCAATGCTTTCATAACTTCAGCTCTATCAAATGGCTAATGAGAATCACATACATTCCAGATTAAAAATGGTTTTTACTGTTAAATGATGAAGCCAGATGTTGCTAGATTGGAGAAATCAAGCGAAAGAAATTTCAAAAATTACGAAACTCAGAACTGAGACAAGAATAGGTCTAATCTGACTCGACTCGAGTATCAGTCTCATCTAGTCTCGAGTGACAGAGTCATCTAGTCTGAGATATACTAATATTGAGCTGCTCTGACCATAAAGGGGAATCTAGCACATAGAGGTCTATGCCAACAAACATCCTAATCATTTTCAGTGGGGTAACATACCAAACTGCAGTGTCAACTGTTGATTATACAGCTCTAGTCCCACTTCTTTCCCAGTAACATGCTTATCAGTGATGGTATCATTGTGGGAACTTCACTGAATGAGACTTGGACCTTCAAGACAAAAAATAATAACACCGAAGTATTTAAAAGTCAAATATCCAATTTTAATATTTTATAACAGTAATATTGATATGAAATATTGTGTAAGTACCCTCATACTCCCTCTAGTCTATAGCCTAACTCAATCTCTAAGTAAGAATTTTATATACATTTTGCCCCTGTATCTAGGGAAAAAGAGCAATTAAATAAATAGCCCATTATTTCAGAAGTTTCTCGCATAAGTCAAAGATATCTTAGTTTAAGCATTTGCCACCAGAGTACTACACAGAAGTTCTACACCTAGCCCTAGGTGGAAATTTTTGCTGTTTGACAAAAATCTTTGTTTTACTACGATGCTCACGTCCAGTTCAATGCTCCATGCTTTCTAGCTCTAGTACTATAGCCCACGTACATTGACTGCCGCAGGGCTATAGCACATTGTCAGCTGGAAATAGCATCAACACCGGTTCCTAAAGTTCCCACGAAAAATCGCTTTACAAAACGCAAAATGAGCGGGCTTTTTAACACTTATCTATCTACGTGGACATCTCACCTATCTTTTTGAACACTTTACACAACTTTACACCATGTATTTATCCTTTTATTCCACAAAGTAAGCACTACTGACAATTCATTTTCAAACGATATGGTGTGCGCACGCGTGACGTCACCGGATATGTACGCAAAACACATGGCAGCTATGGGGCATGTATATACAATACCGGTGACGTCACGCGTGCGCACGCCATATCGTTTGAAAATGAATTGTCAGTAGTGCTTACTTTGTGGAATAAAAGGATAAATACATGGTGTAGTTGTGTAAAGTGTTCAAAAAGATAGGTGAGATGTCCACGTAGATAGATAAGTGTTAAAAAACCCGATCATTGTGCGTTTTGTAAAGCGATTTTTCGTGGGAACTTTGGGAACCGGTGTTGATGCTATTTCCAGCTGACAATGTGCTATAGCCCTGCGGCAGTCAATGTACGCCGGATATAGTACTAGAGCTACATGCTTTCATGATGACAAAGCGAACAAGGGAAATTGCAGAGCTTTGTAGTATAAATTCTCACTGGACTTTAGCTCCAAGAAACGGTATTGCTAGGGTTAGAATACCGTTTCAAACCTTGGCTGCAGCTAAACACGTAGTTGCCTTATTTGCCAAGTATCGCCAAAGAACACTACACATGTGATATACCAAATGAATCAGTATACGTCCAACTTCTTGTAACCATCAGTGCGCTACGATGCGCTGGGTACTTACGGGGTTACAGCGACTTTTTGAGACGAATGCAACAAAATTTATTAATTTGCCGCCATGTTTGCTATCATTCCGACTGTGACTAAAATCCGTAATGGATCGAACAAAAGAAATTAAACGATCTGCGGTCCTCATGTAAACCACCCCTACATCCGAGAACATGTCATCTAAGGTTTTTACAAATGGCCCAGACATTTGTGAACATCGTTTCACTTGCTTTGGTGTGTAATTGCCGTGAGAGCCATCGTGCAGCTATTGTACTATTTCTGTAGTATTTTCTAGCGAGACTTTTCCGTTTCGGGTTTTCCGTGCCTCGCTAAACATGGCGGGTAAAGCTGATTGAAAAGTTGATATGCTGTGAGAATTAGCAGATTATACCGTGAATTAAGAGATACATTCTAGTTTAGAAGCAGGACAACTGTGAGTTAACGTTCATATTTCAAACAAGGCAAGTCAAAGGTGGTAATAGAATAGTTTTATTTGAGATATACAGAGTTATTCATCTAGATATGAAGAGGTAATAGGTTTTTTATATAGAAATATAGACAATCTGTCGCACAGCCTGGTCGGGCTAACTGGACTTGTGTTATTTAACGTTATATCCTTATACTTGTCGGTGTCCCATACACCGGAGATTATTAGTAGATTATTTTATTAATATTACTTATTACTATTAGGGGCAAGGCAGTGCATCTCAGCCATCTGCACCCACTTAACCAACTGTAGTTCTGCCAGTAACAGCACAGGCACTTGAAGCGTTATATTTAACTATATATTTAACGGCTATAGCTATATTGGCGGTAGCTATATATTTAACTGTCGCCGTGCACAGCACACGACCCCTGCGTATATATTTTATTGAAATGCTTCAAGTGCCTGTGGCTGTGAGTAACACTAAGTAACAGTACTCAGTAAGACCCTACGTCAGTAGTGCATAGTACTAGTAGTAGTACTAGTAGTTATAGCCCAAGCAATCCACACCAGGTCGACATCTCGCACCCTGAATTACCTGCCCTCCGCAACACTGCAACTTCTGAATAGAAATAGGTATAGGCCTACTGCAGTGTAGCAGAAAAGAGTAAGAAGACTAATGCCAGTGGCAGTGTGTAGCAAGCAGTGTACTGTGTAGGCCTACATTACATTAGCGATCCTGAACTTATCTAAGCCGTCTACTCGTACTCCACTACTTTCCTAGTCACTAGTGCACTTCTCTGTCTAGTTTTCTATCCTTAATTCCACATGGACTTATGTCATTTACGTGCGACTAGTTCACTATTGGTACCTTCAATATGTTGAAATTTGCCAGAGAAAAGGATGAAAAGAAGCACCAATAAATCCTCATAGCATTTCCTTCCATTTCTACACAAAAACGTATACAGGCTATGTGGATTTCGCGCTATCTCACGAGACGCACCCCCCTCCAGCCCTCCATGACCGATGATAAATTAGACTGGTTCTCTTTCTCGTCAATATTTAGTGTATTGTTTAGTTAAAGTGACAGGGTGGTTATCTAACAAACATCAGAACAGGCAGTGTTCGTGGGATGTAGCGCGCATGGCGTAAAATGTTGTTGTGTATCTTCAAGCTAAAGTAGGCGTCAATCTAATTATTAATAGCTTCAAGTAAAAAGGTAAAGTAGAGACGGAAGAGACAGTGCGTGTGAAATATCAGTCTCCGATCGCTAATAGTTTGTTGGTACGGTGCATGACTGCGAGTGGGTCCTCGAAAAACTGAGCTCGAAAACAGGCCCGTTGACAACGGCGTTGTAACTTGTTTACATGATGTGACAATTCAATTTTTTTTTTTTTTTCAAATCATTTATTTTGCTCATCAGCAATTTACATATACATTCAATCAATCAAGTTGTAAATAATA